TTACTTATAAAATTTAGGTGCGTCGATCATTTGACCCCATAGTAAAAATTTTGCACACATGATCTGCGTGACAAATCATGCGTCTGATAAGCTTGTCAAACCACGAATTAGTAAATTAAATCGATTTACTAAAAAAAGTTCAAGAATAAATTTACACTAACTATAAAAAAGAGAAGATCAAACTGAGATTCACAATCTAATTTCTTCGTTACTTTAGTAATAAGCTTGTCAAACCACGAATTAGTAAATTAAATCGATTTACTAAAAAAAAGTTCAAGAATAAATTTACTAAAAGTGTGTAATTGAATTATTATCGCATTTTTAAATATAATCAATTAATAAACAAACTCTAAATTAGATTACTTATCTTACAGTAATTTTGCAAGTCGATTTAAACTTAATTGAAGTATTTCGGCAAATTTATTATACTTTTATTTATTTTAATATTAGACTTTAACCAATAGTTCTATAAGTTATAAAGGTGGACGTTGGAAAATAAACCTTATCGATTAAATTTTACAATTTATATTTCATGTATTAAATTTTTTTTTGCGCAATATTTTATGGAAATTTTAAGAAATTATGCGATATCTAGTAGTGATTTTATAAATTATGCAATATTATGCTGCAGTTTTAGCCAATTATGCATTATTAACTATATTATGCGGTTTATGCGGTTTTATGCGCTTTGCATAAAATCATCGTCCCTGCTTTAGACGTCCCTAAATTAGGAAATTGGTTTATAAAAAGCATATCACACTAATGAAAATGCATCTTTTAGCCCATATGTGCACGTTACGCATATCGCATATACTGTATAGTTTTTGACCTGAATTTCAAACATTGGTTGGAGTACTTCTTTTTTTTCACGTTTGGATGTTATAGGTAAATAACTTATTTTAATGATGGTTTTGGAAAACCGCATGCTTAATTTATATTACCATTACCGTATTACTTTACTATGCCTATGCTCATATTTTAGCCTTTTGATGACATAAAGAATTAATATGCGGTACGCTAAACATGTCAAATTGGTTTAAAGTTGCTATCGAACAAAAATACATTACATTATTTGAGCATGATTCTTTCCAGAATTGGGGTGAAATAGGTAGAGGAGGATCTGGTACTATATATAGTGCTTATTCAAGAGATATTGAAAAAACTATAGCTTTAAAGAGTTTACATTACGATGATAATGTTTCATTGAATGCCTTCATTAAAGAAGTATTTTAAATTTATATTATCATTTATGTTCTTATTTACGTATTTATTCACGTATTTACTGGTTTCTATATTACATCTTATAATACACTATAAGGTTAAAAATATTACTAGAGTTGCACATCATGATAATATAGTAAGATTTTTTGGAATAACACAAGGTATATTAATTTTGCATCATATAAGAATAAACTCTTTCACTTAACTAATTTGAGTAAATTAGATCCGACAACCAAAAAATACTACATGGTTCTTCAATTTGCTGAAAATGGGGACCTTCGCACCTATTTACGTAATCATTTCTCAGAATTAGATTGGACAACTAAAATCAGAATGGCAAAAGAAATTTCTAGTGGGGTTAATTGTTTGCACAATGCAAATATTGTTCATCGTGATCTTGTAAGATAATTTTTCTGTTTAATTTATTTCTCGCTTTTTACTATATGAGTATTAAATTGTTGTTATAGCATGATAGGAATATATTAGTGCATGATGGTAAATTAATGATTACAGATTTTGGATTATCTAAATCATTGGATAATAGCACAAAATCTATTGGTGGAGAAACACATGCATTTTCCGATCCACAATATCTCCAAAACCCATTTCTATATAAACGAGATAAACCCTCTGATATCTATAGTCTCGGTGTACTTTTTTGGGAGTTATCAAGTGGTGTAACTCCTTTTAAAGATATATCTGATCCAATAGGAATAGCTATTCAAGTAATTCATGGTAAAAGAGAAACACCTGTAAACGAAACTCCGGTTGACTTTATGAAGATTTATTGCGATGCTTGGAACGGTGATCCAAATTTACGTCCTAATATAGTTGAAATCCGTAATAAATTAAATCATATACGAATGTTTCCAGTTTATCATAGTGAAAAAGATATAGAAATTTCAAGTGATGATCATGAGGGTTTTAAATCATCTAAACTAAATAATGTTGGCAATATTACTCAAGGTATAAAGTTAATATGATTATTATGGTTAAAATTAATTATTAGAATCAAAAATTCTAAACTTTATTTTTTTTATTAATAATAACTTATTTACTTTTGACAGAACAACAATTTAATCAATTGCAAGTCGTTATCCAAAATTATTCAAATTTTAATTCGGAAAATTATAATACTATGAGTAAGCACAAGGAGGATCCGTTTGTAGGATTAAATAAATTATCAGAAGTTAATCTAAATAATGCAGAGGCATTAAGAAATCGTGGAATAAAATCCTTTAAATTAAATAGATATAGCGAATCATTAGCAGATTTAAATAAATCATTAGAAATTAATCCAAATGATAAATTTGCATTAGCATTCCGTGGAGAAATCTATCGCCTGATGAACAGATACGAAGAATCACTAGCAGATTTAAATAAATCATCAGCAATTGATCCAAATGATGTATTTACATTAGCAAACCGTGGAGCAACTTATCGCCTGATGAACAGATACGAAGAATCACTAGCAGATTTAAATAAATCATTAAAAATTAATCCAAATGATGCATTTGCACTAAGACAGCGTGGAGCAACTTATCGCCTGATGAACAGATACGAAGAATCGCTAGCAGATTTAAATAAATCATTAGAAATTAATCCAAATGATGTATTTGCATTAGCAAGTCGTGGAGCAACTTATTGCATGATGAACAAATACGAAAAATCACTAGCAGATTTAAATAAATCATTAGAAATTAATCAAAATAGTGCATTTGCATTAGCAAACCGTGGAGAAGTTTATCGCATGATGAACAGATACGAAAATCACTAGCAGATTTAAATAAATCATTAGAAATTAATCCAAATAATGCATTTGCATTAGCAAACCGTGAAGTTTATCGCATGATGAACAGATACAGAGAATCACTAGCAGATTTAAATAAATCGTTAGAAATTAATCCAAATAATGTATTTGCATTAAATGAGCGTGGGTCAGTTTATCACCTGATAAACAGATACGAAGAATCACTAGCAGATTTCAATAAATCACTAGAAATTAATCCAAATGATGCATTTGCATTAGAAGGCCGTGGAGTAACTTTTCGCAGAATGAAAAGATACGAAGAATCACTAGCAGATTTAAATAAATCATTAGAAATTAATCCAAATGATGCAGTTTCATTAAGAAGGCGTGGTGCAACTTATCGCAGAATGAAAAGATACGAAGAATCACTAGCAGATTTAAATAAATCATTAGAAATTAATCCAAATGATGCAGTTTCATTAAGAAGGCGTGGTGCAACTTATCGCATGGTGAACAGATACGAAGAATCATTAGCAGATTTAAATAAATCATTAGCAATTAATCCAAATTATGCAGAAGCATTAAGACAGCGTGGAGCAACTTATCGCCTGATGAACAGATGCGAAGAATCACTAGCAGATTTACAGTGGCGATCATAAGTAATGAGCAAAAAAAAAATTTTGGTTAGATCACGTTATTTCGTGCAATTCTTGACGTATCCTTTTGTTTTTTTTTTTAATTTATTCGTGAATACTATAAGCTTCATGTAAAAAAAATTTCAAAAAAATAAATGATCCCAATTTTTCGTAAAAACGAACTTTATTTCATTTGCCGTGTTGCATTACTTTTGATCG